TGGTAGAGGTAGGGAGTCAGAGTTTCCATATTTCGTTTGAATACTATATTGCAGATGCCATCTGGGCCTAGGGCTTTGTAGGGACTGGTGTTCATGATGGCGTCTTTGATGTGTTTCTTGGTGATCTGCTCGAATGGGACAATTGGGTCTTGTTAAGGTTGTGCTCAAGGGAAAGACTACTCAAAGGGCTTTGGCTTCAGCTCGTGCGCTGCGCCCCTTACCCGAGTATGTGCCCTTAATTTCTGAGGGCAGAGGGGAAGTCCGACAGAAGTCTGGGGAGTTCCGGAGGACGAACGTCAGTGGAGTTTGGCGGAACTCCGGAAGACTATGTGGGAACGGAGTAAGGCTACTATGGAAGTCTGGAGTAGAAACAGAACAGAGGTTAGACTACCCTAAGGTAGAGCTGGAGAATTAGTTCCAAGGTTTAACCCCTAAGACTCAGAGGTGGACAAGAGATGAGACTCAAGTCTGGAGATTTGCAGGAATGAGCAGAACTAAGATGATATTCGAACTGAGGAGTTCCGGAGTATTACAGGGGTTTATATACTGTAGGTATCATGTAAGTAAATCAGTCAGCAAAGGTAAGGGCTATGTACGAAGCATATGGAAAGTCTATTAGTAAGTGTAACAGATCAAAGCAGTGAAGTCAGAAATGAAGTAAGAATGGACAGATCAATAAGCATAGCGGAAAAGGACATAACCGGTAACCAGAGCAATAGCTATTCTAAAAGGAGATAGGTGTGAGTCTGGAGATGAGAGCAGAACGCCAGGCGAAATAACAGGACAGAGGAATGGACTTTAGTGGAGGGGATCCAGAATTCCAGATCTGGAGGTACGGGATATGACAGGTCTTGGTATTCATAGTACTTGTGTATTGTGCTAAGTGCTGGTGGCGGTAGAAAGAATGTCTTCATGAGGAGGGTGCTTTTGTCGTCATCAGAGATTGCCTCGGTGTCATTGCCATTGATGTCCTTGGTGTGAAGTACTGGGATGTGGGCCTTCCCACCATCGCTGCTAGGAGATGTGACGTACTTGTTAGTGATCCATATTTTGCACTGTGATGCTTCCTCTAGGAATTGGGTCCAGTGTTCCTTTTTGGCTGGGGGTGGTCTCGCAGTTCTCTGAATTTATATGATAGGCCACTTAGTTCGTGTTTCCGTTTCAGCATTTGGGATATTTCCTTGGTCCACCAGTGTTTTGCATGCGGATTTGGCTCCATTTTCAGTACTAGTTCCTCTATCACATCATGGTGTGCCATTGCCAGGTTCTTGGCTGTGTGACTAAATTCCTCAAAGACCACTATTGGTTGGGGTGGGGGAATAACATGGAGTTTTGTTAAGACCGTGCTCAGGGGTAAGGCAGAGTCTGAGGGGCTTGGCTTCAGCTCGTACACTGTGCCCCTTACCTGAGTACGTGCTCCTAATTTTGGATTGTAGTCCAACTCGAGTTCTATGAGCTCTGACAGGACGTCAGAGCGGAGGTCCAATGGACTACTAGATAAGTGTGGGAATGTTGGGTGGAGATTGGTCTGCCCTACAGGGGAGAGTCGGAGGGCTACTGCAGTTGGAGCTAGCAGTAGGAACAGAGCTGGGGAGACTGCTCGGATGAAGTCCAAAGCAGAACAGAAACACGGAGGATAGAGGTACAAGAGGATTGGCCACAAGTCTGACATGCAGGAAAGGCAGTGGAGGCACGGGAAGTCAATCCCCTAGGCCAACAAACAGGAGTTGTCAAGGGTTTTGCCTAAGAACAAGGACAAGAGAGCAAGGCTTAGAAAAGGTAATATTCAGACTGAGTATCTACAGACAAATGTACATATGTTTATATACTCTAAGTAAGTAGCATAGCATAGCAGAAGGCTATGTGCTGAGTGTACAGGATTACAAGAGAGATGACTGAGACATACGAGAAGAGGCTCAGAAAATAGTATGTACACAATGGATCAGAAATCACTCAAGTATAGGGATTTCCAGTGATCCGAAAAGTGGAACTATGATACTAAACGGAGATAGGACCAGTTGAGTAGTTCCTAGTCTAGGAGTGGACCGGTGAGGCGGTCAGGCTGACTAATCATCGGGTGGGGCAACATGAGCGGAACTGAAGGAACCAAGTGGGTTGGAAAGGTGGAGGGAGTAGGAATAGGATCGGGCAGACCGATAGGGTGGAGGTAGCAGGGCTAGTCCTGCTGAGATGCACTTCATGCATTGTCAGAGAAGGAGGAATGGAGCAGATGGGGAAACAGGGGGTTGGACCAGCAGTAGGGATGCTCACAGGTGGTATCTGGAGGTGCTCGGATCCGGTATATGACAGAGTTGGTCTTTGAGGCATTTTGAGAATTTCTCCCAGTCGACTTCACATTAGTTGAGGTTGATGCTGGAGGTGGCTTGGGGCAGTTTAAGGTCCAGGGTGCTAAGGATTGGGACATGGTCAGTTTCAGGTGCACATAGACTCGGAGCAGTATCACAGACCACAAAGTATTCAAGGGTGTTATCAACTTTGCTGACTGATTTACTTACATGATACCTACAGTATATAAACTCCTGTAATACTCCGGTACTCCTAAGTTTGAATATCATCTTAGTTCTGCTCATTCCTGCTTCTCCATACTTGAGTCTGATCTCTTGTCTACCTCCAAGTCTTAGGGTTAAACCTGAGGACTAAATCTCCGGCTCTACCTTAGGGTGGTCTAACTCTGTTCCACTTCTACTCCAGACTTGTCTGTAGTCGCCTTGCTCTATTGATTCCTAGCTTTCCAGAGTTCCGCCGAACTCCCCCTGTTGTCTGACCTGCAGACTTCCCTGGACTTCCGTCGGACTTCCCCTCTGCCTCTCAGAAATTAAAGGGCATGTACTCGGGTAAGGTGTGCAGCGCACGAGCTGAAGCCAAAGCCCTTTGAGTAATCTTTCCCTTGAGCACAACCTTAACAGGTACATTCTTTCATTTTCAAGGCATTTCCAATTATTCTGAGCCATGAATCATTTTCCTTAGCGGAAATGCCTCAATTTTAACATGCTATCCCTTTCAAAACATGAATGAAAGGCTAATTAATCTGTCAACAATTATTACAAGGAGATGACTCCTCAGATCCCGGGAAAAAGTCCAGTCGGAGATAGTGGATTTTGCATGTGGTAATAGATACCATCAAATGTTGACTTTTTCAGATGGTGCCCAGGAATTCTGTTGCTTGTATGCTTCCATCACAACATCCAACAACCTTGACACATCCTGGGCTGTGTAAGTCATAGCCCATGATGAACCTGCAGCAAAAATCTTGTTTCCTGGATCTCTATTTCTTGAGTTATGGCCTAAACAACCACCGTTCATGCTCTGCAGTGAGGAGGAGGCAAAGGTGAAGTCATAACTTTTTTTCCCCACATCCTACCAACCCCAGCTGTTCTCATAATGTTCTATGGGTTCATAGCTCCAACCACAACAAAGACTTTGCTGGCCGCTGCTCTGGGGTGAAGGTTATGACCAAAATTTTATGGCAGGAGGCAGGAGGAGGGTCACAGGTGAGGTTATATCTTTTCTTCACTAATGATTCTGAACTTCATGCATTTTTATCATTCTTTACACAACCACATCACTATTCTGCACCTCTTCCCTCTGTTAGAGGTTAGCTGTTAGCATAGGGGCTATATTCTTCTCCTCTTGGGGTTAGCTTAGTGGGGGGTTAGCTGTTTGTCCAGGGGTTATATTCTTCTCCATCTCGGGGTTAGCTGGTTAGGTTGGAGGTTAGCTGCTACATTGGGGCACCCTTACACAGTTACTATTCTATGGAACCTCCTTGGTCTTACTTTCATAGCTCTTCTTCACTGACTTCATGGACTTCCGTAGCTGTTAAGACCATGCTCAGGGATAAGACGGAGTCTGAGGGGCTTGGCTTCAGCTTGTATGCTGTGCCCCTTATCCAAGTATGTGCCCCTAATTTCGGATTGTAGTCTGACTCGAGTTCTACAAGCTCCGACAGGACATCGGAGTGGAGGTCCTCTGAAGGAGGACCAACAAACTACTAGATAAGCGCGGGAATGTCAGGCAGAGATTGGTCCGCCCTACAGGGGAGAGTCGGAGAGCTACTGCAGTCAGAGCTAACAGTAGGAAAGGAGCGGAGGAGACTGCTCAGATGAAGTCCGATGCAGGATGGAAATATGGAGGAGAGAGGTACAAGAGGATTAGCCACATGTCCGATGTGCGGGAAAGACGGTGGAGGTGCAGGAAGTTGGATGAGCGGAGAAGGTGGCTGACCCAGGGAGTCAATCCCCTAGGCCGGCAAACAGGAGTTGACTTGGGTTAAGCCTAAGTCAAAGGACAGAAGAGCTGTCAGAGAAGGAGGGATGGAGCGGACAGGGAAACAGGGGGTCAGACCAATAGTAGGGACATCTATGAACAGTGTTGGGAGTGGCTGAATCAGGTATATGACACGCTCCAAATTTGGGGCACATACAACTCCTTACAGTTGAAGACGGCTTGATACAGGACATCAAACCGGGTGTTTAAGATACATGTGAAGGGGAGATGGTAGTCAGGGTACACTAAATTGTGATGCAGCTACTAGATGCCTGAGTACTGATGGACAGGCGCACAAGTCTACATCTTGTGGTGGCAAACATGTTGTTCACATAGGGGTTGGCCAATGAAGTGCCTGGGCCATTGGCAGATGTTGTTGGAGTCATGACACTGTGAAATAAATCGCGCTGGTGCTTCGTCTTGTTAGAAAATGAAATATGTTAATGAGCTAACAAATCCTTACCACAGTGTGATCTCCTGCTCTTCTGCGAGTGCTGATGCTTGATGAGAAAAGCACCTGTGACATCTATTCAAGAACAGGATATCTATGAGGTTATATCCCTGAAGAGCGGTTGGACTTACTTAAACAGAAAGGTCTTTTGTTTGGGCATGGTGATGGAGATGATCAACAAAGTAGTAAGGGTCCAGGACTGCAAAACCTGGTGAAAGTCACAAAATGAAGTGGAAATATATGTTTCAAAAGCTGGAGGGGTCTAACAGTTGTTGATCTTGTTGTTGGCAGTAGCTCTCTTCCTAATGGTCTCCCAAATCTCAACCCCTTCTTCAATTGGTTCCTGCAGCTCACTTTTACTCAAGGCTGCTACTGGGGTCAACCAGCCTCCCCAAGAGTTATATTCACTGAATGAAAGTCCCTCACTATTTGAGGAAGGAGCTGGGGGGACATTGGGCTCACTGACATTCCCAGACTACCTCAAACAAAAACAAGTCTCAGTTGCGGTAGACGAGGCCTTTGGGGCAGTTTCTCACCAAAGATCCTGAAGCTATTGGCTGCCCTGGCTGCATAGCCTGGCAGCGTCAGGTAGTACATCAGGGGTGGTCAAATGTGGACCTACTAGGAGGGCCTGTCCTCTTGGATGTATGACACCTGGATGAAACCTGATATTTCCTGGAGACCAGTTAATAAGGATAAGATGAAGATTCTGGAGGCATACCTCAGGTAGTTGACTTCTTTTTTTGGGAGGACTTAGCTACATCAGGGGACTAACAAATAATTTAGATCTACAGACTATCCCTAGAGGAAGTATTCCTTATAGACACTTACATGTGGACGCTTGAATAAGCTTGGTTGGATGGTCAGGGGATCCACCTCCATGGGCACCTCAGGGGAACTACCAGGCTGACGCTTATCCAGCTCTTTAATCATGGTCTCCAAACATAATTGCCAGCTGGCCAGGTTGGATTCCATCATAGGTGCTGGTGGATTCCTGCTGAGGTTGGACTCTAGCAATATGCATTGCCAATCCAGAGGGTGCTTTATGGGGTCAGGCGTGTTCCCGTATAAGCCTTTCATGATGGGGTTTGTCATCTTCAGCCAACCCTCCCAATCTGCAGAGAGCACTTGGAACCAATCTCTTTCTGGCTCATACCTTCCACAGACAAAAGGTTCTGGGCACCATCCAGCAGATCTAGTAGATGGTGGGTACTGTTGAATCAGACTCATCCATCCCACTCTGCATGGAGTTTTGCAGGATGCGACACGACATGACTTGAGAGGATGGAGAAACATGTTTGGGTTGTGCGACCCAAAATGGTAGCTGGCTGGCTTGGGTTCCATGATTGGATTAGGGTTAAGGGACGCAGATCCAGTTGCCCAATTTTGGTGCCTTGAAGAAGGCGGAACCGAATGCCAATTGGTGTAAATTCCAGGAAGTAGTAAATATTATCACACCATGGTCTTTGGTGAAATACTCATGAAATCACTGCAGAAACGAGATTTTATCCCTATAGGGTTGAAGTAGAAGTAGTGACGATAAACACACCATAACCAGATAGTTGTGAATGTGGGAATCTCCAGTGCCTAGAGTTGAGAAAGGTGACCATTCCGGCCTCAATCCCGAGGTGAGTTAGGCAACATGTGCTAGGATGGGATGGCTGCCCTAGCACCTAACCCAATATCAGAATCACATCTGGATACTGGTTATGGGGATCCACTTTTGATCTGAATATTAGAGTGAGCTAGGTCTGATTTGCTTCTGAATATCAGGTAAATCGAAGTCTGATTAAGGTAGAGATATACAACACGTCTTCTATGATGCTTCTAGGGATTCGCGCTTCCCATGGTGCACCATCCTGGGTAGTAATTGATACCTTCCCTCCCTCCCCTCTTTCCAGCACCAATGTTCACAACTAGTCAAGGTTCTCAACACCGCCCCAGTGGTGCAGTAACAAATGCAGTTGAAAGTACTGGAGGAATGCATCAGGATAGTCAATGGCAGATGATCGAACCTCACTGTGCCCTGCTACAACTAGCACCTTGCCCGTCACCACTATTTGTTGATCTGCAAACATAGTTAACAAGGAATGATCAATTCTGCATGCACCCATCAGCATATCAGACCAAATTCCAGTAAGCTCAGCCCACCTGCCAAGCAGACATCAGATAGATGTAACCTTGTCGTCTGGACTCTGGAGCCCTACTTCTGGGCTCAACAGATACATTAGCAGAAGGGAGAAACACAGATAATGGAAAGCACGCACTTGTACTTGACAGCTACTTGACCTGGTGGTGTGACTATATGTGCTATAGATAAGCAATTCTGATCAAAAGAGTAGTGCTACTAGTTAGTGCTATATACCCATGAATAAAACGACAATCCAAATTGTAACCTTATGCTCAAATTTCGTCCACATTGAGTTTGGGTCTGGAATAGGTCTTGTGTCTGTACCACATCAAGTTATACACCTAAACACCCTCGGATTACGGTGGAGCTAAAATCTCGCTTCCGCAGTGAATGGAGGTACATGCCATGATGAGATCATGACAGATTGTAACTTTCCCACTTAAGGCATTGAACTTATTGATATATATACACTGGGTTGTAGAGTTGTGGTCTATCCTTCAGTTCAGACTAGGATTCACTACCAGTGATGGCTTCATGGGGGAGCACAACCAAGTGCGTCAACATCAATTCAAAGCTACAGCTACTGAACAATGCATAGCAGAGCCCCAGAAAAGCATCCACCTTTATTTCCAACCTATAGTTATAGAATGGGGGCCTGTGATATAGTAGAACTTGTCAATATGGTTAGGATATCCTTACCAACTTGGACCAGACATGGCCATCCCAGGCATTCCTTTCAAGACAACTCTCCTCAGAAATCATATCAGCAGAGGGGCTCAGGGGTGTATGAGCCAGTGGGTTAAGTGGAAGGACATTTTGTGCTGAGGAACTGGTTCTAATTTAAATTGAAACCCCAAGGAAGCTTATTGGAAACACCCACTGTTGGGTCCAGAACAAGCCACCTTCATCACATGGGCTTTTTGTGCTTGCTCTCTCATCCCATATACTGTCCATTTGTGTATGGAGGCAACCAAGAGTAGGGTGTGACATGCTGCCACAGTTGTAGAGTTAGCAACCTCACCTGATTGGAGCATGACATGTAAACAAGTCAGCAACCAGTGACATTGGGTGCCTGTCAAGGCTGTCATACTATGTCTGAGTATGGCCTAGTGTTGTTGCACTGTATGAAGTGTCACTGTGAATGGTGCTAGGTGAGTTTGCAGATGTGAATTACTGTCATTGTACTGTTCTCAGTGAGCTTTCCTCATGTGAAGCACTGTCTGTTGAAAAGTGTGTGCCTTCCAGGCTAAATGACCACCTGAGATGGTTCTACTATAGCGAGGGGGTTCTAGAACAAATTCATTGACCCTCTTGGATAAAGTTCTGGTTGACTGTGTTTCTCGTCTTTCTGTCTTACTGTATACATTCAATCTTGGGTTCGTGGGGGTCAAGGTTCGCATGTTCATTCACCACTGTAACCTGTGACGAACTTAAGATAGGTTCGCCAAGGTGGTTGGACTACATTGAAGGACTTGGAGTCTCCGAGTCAGATTGACTCTATGCTTGCTCAATTGATCCCCAGTCGACAACAGAGATTGCTACATATCTGACTTCTTTCTACCTTTCTGTAGTATCTTGGCAGGATATTGAACACAAGGGTACATTGATATAATTTAGTAAGTTTATTTGTCTGGTCTGAACATCCCCCCCGCAGCACCACCGCTGCAACCAGCAGCAACAATGACTCAGCAGATAGTACTGAAGTATCCTTACCAAAAGATGATGTGGTCGAGAGTGATGGAGTCAATGACAAGGCCCCATAGGAGGTGGTGCTCAAACATATCATGTCTGGCAAGACCCATGTGCCAGAAGGATATAACATGGATGCAGATGGGTCTCTGATAGTAGATGGTGCTACCAACAAGCATCATGAGGTGATTTCCCCTAGTGAGGGTATCGAGGAGGTCAGCAGAGGGAAGCAATGGCACATTGCAAACACGCAATACGGAGAATGAGGAATATAAAGGGAGAGATGGGGCTGGGGCTGAGGGCGAATGAATCAATTGAAGGTTCATTGGTAATATACATGTTTGTGTTATTTGAATGTAAAATTCAAGTCTGTCATTGTGAGGTGCATGCATCATACTATTCTGCATGATTAGGAGGCTCCGAGGATGTTCCCTACTAGTATACCAAGTTACTAATAGATCTATATAGTGCTACATATTCCTATGATACGGGTAATATGTTACGCCCTCTCATTGCATGTAGCACATGATAGCATTATGTTGAAGCCTCAGGTGCTATGTGGCACTACTGTAAGATTGGGGGGATGGCGATAGAGCTACACATGGTATGTACACTACAGAGTGCTATATGTTCATCCATATTTTTCCTGATGTCAAGAACCAGCCCTCTGGGCTAATACCACTCTGGCCTCGAGACTCATCGAAGGCTGATTCATCCTGCACCAGATGCCTGATCCTGCCATGCCCCTGGCATGCTACCATGGGTTTTGCAATATTCTTGATGGGGCAAAGAGTGGCTTGACCATTTTACTGGAGGTTGTGAAGAGAGGCACAAAGCTATGCCAAAAGCACTCCACAGAGTGGAAAGAAAATGTACCGGTGTGTATGGATGCAACCTGCTGGGTCAGTGTGACACCTGCATTCATGAGACCCGAGCTCCATTCGGAGGCGTTACCTCACCTAATATAGGCAACTTCCCTTGTTAGGCACACAACTATGAGAAGCAGGAAGGACAATGTTATAGCCAGAAAACAATGTTCTATAGTAGTCTGACCAGATGGATAACCTTTTCTCAAAATAAAATGACTGGAAACAACAATGGGCTGTCTGTTTAGAAATGGATCGGGGTAGCCAACCCTCAAAGTCCACCACCTGGTGCTGGAGAGGGGGTAGCTTCTGGGCTATTATGGCTGAGCCCTGCTGACCGGGAATCAGCGGCTGGAAAAAAATCCATGCCTGGAGTAGGCAAGGAAGTTTCAAGATTGTGAGGTTGGGATAACAAGTAGGCGGGGGGACAAGCAATACAAGGTGGGATCATCCACTGCAGATACAGTCCAAGGATAGTAGACTGGAATACAATGCTGGACATACAACCCTATGTTTTCTCTCCAGTCCCACACTTCATCATCCCAGCTCAGGGATGGGTCACCATGCCCTCGGTGCCATTGAAACCCAGCTAGTTCATGAGGTATCCATGGATATCGATGTTTTGTATGGGTATACCAATCAGGACTTTGCATGCTGTCAAACAGCACCGCCGGTCTTTCAGCTCTGGGACCGGTCCACTGATGCAGTACATTCAAGTCCAACCAGTCCAGCGAGGCATTAGGTAACACCCAGGTCAAACCGGCTAACACACAACAACTTGGAGAAACGTGATTGCCTGCATTTAACTGGGGGTGTATTGGAGGCTTGTAGTGGTTGGTCCAATCAATGGTGGTGCGATCACAGTTTCTACAGACAATAGAGGGTGTTTTTGCCAAGTGATCGAAATTTCCTTACAGTCCTGCAAAATTGGCTGAGGGGGCACTGGTCTACCATACAGTGGCTCAAAAAACTGTCCGCATGTTTTCACATTTTTCACTATCTATGATATTGTGTGAGAATATACAAACACATCAAGAACATGCTGGTACCATATTGTAGTACTACTTCAGGGCTTCCAATTGAGCCCTATGGCGTGGGAATTGGTGGAGATATGGTGGAGATATGAGGCTTACAAAATGATGACTCATGCGGACAGTTTTTTGACTCAAGTATTTTACAGTGATAATCAGGTATTCTAGTACATTGTGTGACCTCCCTTGGCTTTAATTACTGCCTCTATCCTTCTAGGCATACTCTTAAAACTATATCTAACTATATAAATCAGAATGTCTCATGTGTTATGGTCATAATTACCATGAAAGCCGTCTCCTCTACTCAAAGGGATAATATCTTCTCTTTGTCCTATGCTGGCCTCTCTGCTCATCAAATTTCCTCTAGAACTGAAGTATGCAAGTCTACTGCAGCCAAGTGTATCAAAGAAAGCCACCTGGACAAGGAAAACTCTTGTGGAGGACGTCCACCTCTGCTAATAAGGGGGCTATCATCCAACATATCACTACAGGAAAGGCTAATAATGCCCTCCAAGCCACCCATTATACCAATTCCACCATCACCACCACTGTCTCTTCACAAACTGTGAGGAATGTTCTCAAGGCAGCTCATCTCAAGGCAGTAACAAAGAAGAAATGCCTCTTATCTCTATTAAACATAGGCTGAAAAGACTACCTTTGGCTTGGCCCATCAAAACTGGACTGTAGAGGACTGGAAGCATGTTATATGTTCAGATGAGACCAAAATCAATAGGATTGGGTCAGATGGGAAGGTATATGTATGGAAAAAGAAGAGGGATTTTCTAACAGACAGAGAGGTTAGTGAGGCTGTCAGATTTGGAGGAGGTTCTCTAATGGTATGGGGCTGTATGAGATGGAATGGTGTGGGTATGCCTGCTGAAGTTGAGGGGAGGATGGATGCTGAGCAGTATGTGGACATTCTAAATGACCACTTGCTGCCTAGCATAGCTGACTCAGGGATTGATGAAGAAGACATCATTTTCCAACAGGATAATGATCCCAAGCACACATCTAGGAGAGCCAGACAATGGTTTAAAGAACATAATATCAATGTTCTTGACTGACCAGCACAGTCCCCTGATGTCAATGTCATTGAACATCTCTGGGGAATACTCAAGAAGATGCTTCAAGCCTATGAAACCCCCCCTAAAGGAGTATAGGAGCTATGGGAGAGAGTAGCAGTGGAATGGGCAAGGATTACAGCAGAATATTGCCAGAAATTGATTGAGAGTATGCCTAGAAGGATAGAGGCAGTAATTAAAGCCAAGGGAGGTCACACAATGTACTAGAATACCTGATTATCACTGTAAAATACTTGAGTCAAAAAACTGTCCGCATGAGTCATCATTTTGTAAGCCTCATATCTCCACCATATCTCGACAAATTCCCACGCCATAGGGCTCAATTGGAAGCCCTGAAGTAGTACTACAATATGGTACCAGCATGTCCTTGATGTGTTTGTACATTCTCACACAATATCATAGATAGTGAAAAATGTGAAAACATGCGGACAGTTTTTTGAGCCACTGTATGTAATGTCAAGCCTTGTGATGAGGCTTCCTAGTACTCAATGAGCTACGTAGTAGACCAGATAAATATTTGCAAAATACAAACAAGAGAAGCTTTGGAAGTGGGTATTCACTCCATTCTGGGTCCAAGTGAGAGTCATGTGGTTTACATGTGCACATGGACTATCCATATATGTACAAAGGCCATGGGTATGTATGTATTGTAGCGGGCCAACATTTTGTACTTCTACGTCAAGATTCTCTGCTTCACCCCTCGTTCACACTATCTTGCTCTTACCCTGTGTACCTTAATCAATCTCCAGGTACCCCGGGTGATCACCGATCAGTCTGGACAGCAACCTGTCTGTTAAACCTTGAAACTTCTCACGATGCTGAGCGCTGAATCCTGTTCTCTTGAGATAGTCGTTCTCCCTCTATGCAGATCCACTTGGCTCTTCAAGTCATGGGTCTATAGCAGAAGGCTGGGGCGGCAGGGCAGTATATGGCTCACCACTTTCTTTTCCTCCCAATCAGTCAAATCTCTGCCCTCTGCTGTCTTCAACCATCCTTCAAGGCTGCTAATACTGATCAATTCTGCTTGTCACTGGTGGCTCCTTCCGACGCCCAACTTTCTCTTGCAGCCAATGGACTATGTCAACCATGACCACTCCTCAGCCCACTACTACAACGAAGAATGGAAGGTACAGTGTCTGTCTGGTCTTTGGATTCACTCACTAACTGTTTGGTACTACACTAGAAACTTCCAGATCAGTGGCTCAAGATCATTAGTTAATTGGTAAGTTTCATAGTTTCTATTGTACTTTAGCTGTCATTGCTGTAGAAATACTGAGATCGAGGTGCTGACACTGGTAAGTACGGGTTGAGCATACACTAACGTGACCTGTGTAGATCAAGGACGGAATGTGGACTGGGAACAAGGGCAGCAACATCACCAAGTTCATTGGCAGAGCTATGTGTTGGAGTGGGTATAGCATTCAGTTGTACAGGCAGGGATGGGGTGTATTATTGTGTAATGTGTTTGTAACATTTTCGCAATGCATTGTTTTTGGTCCATTCATGTCAATGTGGGTATATGCAAAAAGTCAATTGAGAGCTACAACAATATACTAAAATCTACACTATGCAAACACACTCAATGTTATGATATCTCACTTGAAGTGAGTTACTAGAAATCTACTATAAGTCTCATCCTTGTCCTCATATCTACATGAATATTGTTGCCTATATTTCTGTCGTTTTCCGGAGATGTGGTTAGGACCGGTCCTTACTGGCAGACCTCTTGCATAAATTACTCTATACAACACTTCCACTTTTCAGTTTCATAGGAGTGCAATAGTAAATTGGGAAATGTTTGTGACAACCATGAAAAACACCGTGCAATTATTGAAATGGAGCTTTAAACATGCTTCTGATTGAATCTGAGTTTGAATACAGGTATATATCATTCTTTTAGACCTCCCACGCCATCATCTGCTCTGTTGTGTCCTGAGATATGGGGCTGACAGGACCATACCAGACTTGGGGGAGCACTTCGGATGTGAAGCCTTTCCTGGGTCACCTGTGATGTCAAACTTGTTAATACCATCTTGCTGTCAGTTGCACCATGAGATATGGGGCCGACAGGACCATACCAGACCTGGGGGAGTGCTTTGGATGTGAAGCCTTTCCTGGGTCGCCTGTGATGTCAAACTTGTTATACCATCTTGCTGTCAGCAAACCCATCAAAAATGGGTCCGGAGGATTACAATGTCCTTCTGTCGCATATCCACCATTTGGACCCTATTCTCACTGTCCAAATGACACAGGAATGTAGCCAGCTCAAGAGTCCCCGTTTTTGTCATACTATGTCACACCCTGCCATTGAACCATTTCATACTCCACACAACTGTGTATACACCAGCAACCCAACACAAGTGAGATGCACAATGATATCTTCATCATATTTTGCAAAATTAGACACAATGATAGAAGTGTGTGGGAAGATATGCAAGTAATGCTACAGTTGACTATGTGATAGTAAGGTATGATGATAGGTTCTTAATCCTGAGTGCTAGTGTAAATTATAAGGCAGGTGTTCAAGTTGTTGAGGTAGTGCAGGTTGATGATCTTGACCAGTGTTGTTTTTAACCCCGGGTTATAACTGGTGCATCCTGCCTTGAATTAACTGGGGTTGATGGGGTCAAATCACAGTTAATTGCTACCAGGCACTAGCTAGTCCGAGTTATCGATAACAATTGGAATATTCAAGCTCGATGGACCACTTCCCATGCCCAATGACTCCCCTAGTACATTCCCACCAGTGTGCAACTCTTCATCCTTGGGCAGGCTTGACATTAGCTCATAGAATTATGCTTCACTCTCCATGTTTTTCATGCCCTGGAACAAAAACTTGTCCCATCCAACCTCAACAGACCAATTGAACATGTCCCATATGCGAAACATCCTCTTCTGACCAAAGAAGCAGTGAATTTGCTGCAGGGCATGAGATGTTCTCCTCAGCTTCAATGACTTCTCCTAACCCAGACATGTAATTGTCATTGTTGTTGTCGGCATCTTGCCACAACTGCAGTGCAACACATTGGGGTTATCAATATTTGGGACAAGGTTTTAATGTTGGTTTTTTGGGCAAAACTTTAAGTTTCATATGCACAACATTTAAACCTGTCCTAAATGTTGATAACCCTGATGTGACAGCCGAAAATGAGACATAAATGATTTATGTAACACATCAATTGACAATGACTCACCTTCCTGCGTCAAAATTGCACAATTTCTGACAGCCTGCAATATTCCATGTGCAACAACCTGCTGATCAGTGTTCCCAAGATCCCTTAGCCTTCACCTTGACACAGCATTTACAGTGTGCCTGCCAGTGCACTTTATCAACCTTTATAGGCCCCTGATGGAAATGTTCCCATATCCAGGACTTCTCCCTAGCCATTGGAGAAGCTTTGGAAATTGGAAGGCAATACAGTTCCGGGGGAATGGGAGAGAGAGAATCTGAGAGATCAACGATAATAATTGAAAGTTTTCCAACCCCCCATTTAACCCAATTAACTAACCCTACTAACCCTCTGAAAATCACAGATCCATTTAACTAACCTCTTCACCCGTTATAACCAGGTTGAGTTATAACTCTTTCAACAGGTTAGTGACAACACTGATCTTGACCATGCAGGTCTTCAGTGCTAAGACTCTAAATTTGACACATGTGTTTAGTGCCACATTTTGGCTCACCGGAATCTCAATTCATACATCACACTTTGGATGGATTATCACATCTGGTTGTATTTCTTATACTGCATGTCTTTCTATTAAGAAAGTAGTCCTGGAGATATTTATTTTCACATGGCCTTAGGATTACATGCTTCTATGGATCCTCCATACATCCCAAAAATGCCAGGTCCTCCTTCTCACTCTTCTAACTGTTCTCCATAGCAAGGTGCAGTACTAGTGTGCCCCAGAACACAGAGAGAAGGCCCAGCGATCCTAATAGCCAGTTAGGTCAAGAAACTCAAAGGCAGCAGCAACACAAACCATTTGCAGCACCACTTGTACTGCCACCTCTGCAACACCAGCTCTCCCCTCTCAAAAATGATGGTGGGCTGCTGCAGATGGATCCTTTTTTTAGCGCAGGACAACAGGATGCAAGCCTTGAACCACAAGTGATGGTAAATCCATTTAAATGCTCTATGTTAGGTACTGTGCTGGTTCAAGAGGCAGAGGGGTCAAGGCTTGGCTTCAGCTCTTGCGCTGCGCCCTTAGCTGAGTACGTGCCCCAAATTTGGAGCGGGTCCGACATTGTCCGACAATGGGACGAGTGAACTGCTTAGGTCCGCTTTGAGTGTTGGGAAGTAAGAGCTACTAGCGATGGGCCGACTAGCAGTGGAGTAGAGAAGGCAGAGAGTGATGTGGAGGGTGGATAGGAATGGGGGAATGTTTGGTAGGAGCGGGAAAGGCGGAGGATAATGCAGAGGATGGGAGAAGGGGCAAAGAAGATATTGATAGGGGCGGAGAAATAAGAGGGACACTTAGAGCACGGCTCTAAGTTGGAGCGGAGGGTCGGAGGGTTGGAGGTAACAACAAGTTGAGACTTGTGTCCAGAGGAGGCAAGGTCCTACTGAGAATTCTCACAAGAGGTAACTGCAAGAAGACAAGTAATATTAAGACTGAGGAAAAATATCTAAGTACATGATATGTTATATACTTCTATGTATGAGGCAGTGACCAGGATAACTATGTTGTAAAGCTATGTACCAAGGATATAATTTGTAAGTACTTACACAGGTGAAGACATAAGTCGGAGTGGATATCAATATGTATGCATCAGATCAGTGATCAAGCGGTAATAGGAGTTACTGGTGATCCAGAAGTAAGGGTCTATGTACCAAAGGGGAAAGTATATATCTAAAAGGGGAAAGAGGTCCAGTTGAATGGAGATGTTTATGGAAGGGGACCAGTTGAGATGAGTAGAGCGGAGGTGATCGGAAAGCGGAGCAGATATTGATATTGGAGTGGTCGGATCAGGTATATGACACTCTACTAGAAAACACCAGATACTCATCATAGATAGACCAATGATGGCCTGTATGTGTTTGGGCGTCAGGTACATGGGAGGTCGGCATTGTCAGAATCTCGCCAAGGGACACCATATCAATCTGGCCAGAGAACACTGTATCAAGGGACATCATCAGCACAAGGGACACCATACAACAATGGGGTTTAACATTGCAAGGTTCGTCTGATCCATCCATGAATCTGCATTCCATGGTTGCGCAGGTCATAGCTCAAATGCACCAACTGACTAAAACCTCAGATCAGCATACTAATCAAGATGCAATAATGAATACCTCCCTTTGAAAAGTCTTGGAGCATCTTGATGCAGCAGAAAAGAAGATTGAGAAGCTCAAAAATGAAGGTGCAGACAAGGGCAAACCTCCCAAGAAGGCTGCAACCCCGAACATTTTGAGCAAGCATCCAATCTTGGAAGGTAAATCAGCAATTGTTTGAACATCAACAAAGACTCACCAAATAATATTGAATAGCCTCTCATTCACCCAATTTTCTTTGAGCTGTGTGGTGTAGACCCGTTGCTTGGCAAGGCAAAGCAAGTAGAAGTGTTGATAGCTATCAAACCATTACCAAACAGAGAACCATTTGAGATGTTGAACGAAGGGGGCCCTTCCACTGTCGATGCAAAATTTGTTCCAGTCTGTGTCTAACTGCAGTGAGTGCATGGGGGCTTGTAAGTGAAACTTGAAGCAGGTAATAATAATAAAACTCGGTTCCATGCATAAGTCAAGACTTCATCATCGGCCAGCAGACCTCACGGGATGATTTGGCGCACATTAGGGAAGCAAGTACTAGTGCAGATGTCTCATAAAATGTCAAATGAAGTGACTCACCTCTTGGAGGGACAGTTTTGCTGATGCACAAGATCTTTAGTATCAGGTTCCAACTCTGGCTCGGTTTTACTGTCGTCCACTACCTGGGTGCCTGCCTCAATGGCTGGCACTAGAAATAATTGATGTCTATTCAGTAACACAGATCAATGAACATAGGAAAAAGTTACCATATTCTGGACCTCCAACCAGTGCGTAAGGATTTCCGGCTTATTGGTTCGTGTTTTTCTGTCGTCGGACCCTCTGAAGTATTAGGTTGTGACCTCGATTGCTTGAGAGGCTTTCACATTGAAATTTCAACACTACAGGTCCCGGTTTTCTGCACTTGAAAGTGAATTTGAAAGTTTTCAGTTGCATAGGTAGCTCAAGCTTGATTGTGTTGCAGTCTGCCATCATGACAGCATGAGTACTATGCTAGATAGCGAGGACTTGGAGATATTTTCAAAACACCTACCTTCATTCAAGTCTACCATAAAAGAGGTCGAAAGGATGGATTTACGGATCAGGTTAGTGGTGGGACAGCGAGTGTTTGAAGAGTATGGATGACGGTCGGGAAAGATGTGATCATGAAGTCTATTGGCTTATTGTAACCACCTTGAAAGTCTATGTAAGGTTCAGTTTCAGCCAGTGTAAAGTAAAGATATTGACGTTCCAGTGTAAGACTTGGTTAAACCACCAGATCCCAAGCTGAGGACACAGTAAAATGACCTTCCTCTTTTCAATGAGATCTGACAGATCCTAGGAGGTTGGTAAGCCACTCAGTCACCAGAAGGGGAGGGCTGATCAATCTCACTGCATGGTGTAATCTGGTGAGTACAACACCAAAAAATTCTGACCAAGACGGGCTCACATTGGGAGCTGGGCTGAACCAACACCTTCCCCCTGTAGGTGAAGTCTGGCCAATGAGACCATGTGCCTTGCCTCTGTGAAGGTCAGTGGACCCCAGAGTTGCTGGATGTCATGCATGAGGAGACAACCGACCCTGTACCCTGAGTGAGAACAATCCTGCTTTGGCAATGGGTCGTAAATGGAATCACCTGCTTCTTCATTGCCAATCATCTCACAAAGCTCCACAAGCATATGACCTTAATTCTGGATTTTTGGGAGGAGTGTCTTGGAACACCCAGGCGAGATTCCTTCCATCAGGGACACAACAGAGTCCTGGGTCTACCGAAGATAGATGAAAGGACAACCCCCAGGAACAACATTTGGAGACTGACACAGGACACATTTAGTGACCCCAAGGTTGAGGTTGATGGCTGAACTCAGCATGTAATATACACAAGCCGCATGTCCTGATGGGCAATAAGTCACTGGTGCAACACTAAGCTTGTGTTATGTTAGGGCGATGATTGTATCAGGATCATGGTGCTGACAAGACATCCCAATATCTGACCCATAGGTGAGTAGGCAACCCTGTAAGATCACAAATATCACTCACATCAGGGACTGGAAATGTTCCTGAATCAACTTAAGAAAGCTGGCAGCCAAGGAGTTTGATCCAGGTGGTCCTTGATCTGCTGCAGGGGTTGGTGGTGTCTGTACCTCTTGTGAAACCCAAAATGCTGGCTGAGAGGCCAGGCATGGCAACTGGAACACTCATACAACATGGGCTCCTGCAATCCAACAGCATTGACCTGGATTTGGATCACTTGACCAAACTTACCATGATATAGTACAGGTGTTGAAACGATAGGTGACAGTTAGATACACAAGTTAAGGTGATTGATCTGCCGGTGAAATCTGCTTCCATATTTTCTGGTTTATCATGTGACTGTAGTGCAACATTTCACTGAATTCACCTATAGCTCACTGTACACAAAGTGTAATTGAAAATGGTTCTATAATTATGTGCGCAGAGTATGTAGCAATACACCCATATAATTTTCAAGAGTTAAATCGAGAAAATGAGGAATGAGTAAGCATTACAGTGATCAAAAAGCTTAAATGTGCAAAACAAGTGACATCAGGGCCACCCACATACCGAGATGGGTGAGATGGAAATGAAGAAAATTGCTGTTGTTGCCGACAGATGCTCTACAATGAACTTGATTTCATCAATGTTAAGTCATTGCTGGAGATCACATGTGAAATCAGGGGCTTTCGCACAATCTTCTTTCCAAAATTCCACTGTGAACTGGATTTTATTGAACAGTGTTGGGGTTATTCGAAGCGAGTCTACCATGAACTTCCAGTGTCATCAAAAGAGGCTGATCTTGAATGGAATGTTCTTGCTGCCCTTCTGGCTGTTCCACTAGAAGCTATTTGATGGGAAGCCTTTTTTGACTCTTTAGTTTTCTTGTTACTCTGATTTCAAGTTTTGATCCTTTCAAATCAGATTCTCCACATGCTCACTTAGATTTATGGACACCTACCACAAGGGCCTCAATGGGAAGCAGGCCATGTGGGCGCCAAAGCAATGTTGTGGTCATTGTGTGCTTCCGGAGACAATAATAGCGGAGTTGGCAGTGGCAGTGGCAATGGCGAAAATGTCTTGATGTATCTCACAGTGAACCAACTGAGCAGTTTTCTGTAGAGATGTTGGGTTATATACCCTTGATATCTGACACCAGTGAATGGAAATGCTCTATACTGCTACCTATGTGTGATTGACTGATTTTCTTCCACCAATTGCATTCTGAGCTTTTGACAGTCACATTTGCAAAATCACAGAACAGTCTTTGCTACTTGTATGTTGCTGCAGAGTTATGAGGCAAAGATGTGTTTTTGGACCTCTTAAGTCATGTGATGAACCAGAGTATGAACGTGGCCTGTCTTAGCAGATGACTGGTATTCAAAATTCTGGACTAATCACATATGCATGTAATAATTATTGGAACTTGCCTTAAGCTTAAGAAAGGTTTCAAAGATAGGATGTATATGAAAATGGCTAAGTCATTATCAGACACTTACAGTGACCATGTGGTAAGTATGTACCGACCCAGGTAGACAAACTCCATTAGATGAAAATATACTAATGTGGGTAAGGAGAGAAACTCTATAAACTCCCCACCTAGATGATACAACCTACGGATGGTTGCAACTGCAAGGCACATATTTGGCCTCACAGTTGTTGATCATGTTGTTGGCAGTAGCTCTGCTTCCTAAACATCTCCTAAATCTCAAACCATTTTTCAATTGGTTCCCCCCGTTCAACCCCTTCTTCAATTGGTTCCCACAGCTCAACCCCTTCTTCAATTGGTTCCTGCATCTCAACCCATTCTTCAATTGGTTCCTACATCTCAACCCCTTCTTCAATTGGCTCCCACAGCTCATTTTCACTCAAGGCTGCTACTGGGGTCAACCAGACTCCCCAAGAGTTACATTTCCCTCACTATTTGAAGAAGGAGCTGGGGGGACATTGGGCTCACTGACATTCCCAGACTACCTCAAACAAAAATAAGTCTCAGTTGCGGTAGACGAGGCCTTCGGGGCAGTTTCTCACCAAAGATCCTGAAGCTATTGGCTGCCCTGGCTGCATAGCCTGGCAGCGTCAGGTAGTACATCAGGGGTGGTCAAATGTGGACCTACTAGGAGGGCCTGTCCTCTTGGATGTATGACACCTGGATGAAACCTGATATTTCCTGGAGACCAGTTAATAAGGATAAGATGAAGATTCTGGAGGCATACCTCAGGTAGTTGACTTCTTTTGTTTTGGGAGGACTTAGCTACATCAGGGGACTAACAAATAATTTAGATCTACAGACTATCCCTAGAGGAAGTATTCCTCATGGACACTTACATGTGGATGCTTGAATAAGCTTGGTTGGATGGTCAGGGGATCCACCTCCATGGGCACCTCAGGGGAACTACCAGGCTGACGCTTATCCAGCTCTTTAATCATGGTCTCCAAACATAATTGCCAGCTGGCCAGGTTGGATTCCACCATAGGTGCTGGTGGATTCCTGCTGAGGTTGGACTCTAGCAATATGCATTGCCAATCCAGAGGGTGCTTTATGGGGTCATGCATGTTCCCATGTAAGCCTTTCATGATGGGGGTTGCTGTCTTCAGCCAACCCTCCCAATCTGCAGAACAATTTATTTTCTAAATAGATAACAGCTGAACTCATTCTCACTGTAGCTCCCAGATACATTTGAGTGGTCCTGGAGGAGTTTCTCTACCCTATCATCTGAGGCCGGTTGCATCCCATTTAGATGATATACCTGGTACCCCCAGCTGACCACGATACTCAAAACCCATTGCCGGGTCATTTTTGTTGGTGCAGGAAGGGTCGTCACAGGCAACAGGACGTCAGAATGAGGGTCCTCCGAAGGAGGACCGATAGACTACTAGGTGAGCATGGGAAAGTCAGGTGGGGGTTGTTCCGCCCAACAGGAGAGAGGTTGAGGGTTACTGCAGTCATAACCAACAGTAGAAGCGGAGCGGAAGGAACTGCTTGGACGAAGTCCAAAGCAGGGCGGAACAGAGGGGACGAATGTGCAAGAGTGCGGGGATCAGTTCCAATGCATAGGAAAGGTGGCCAATGCACGGGGAGTCGGAAGAGCAGAGGGATAGGGGAATGGGGGAGTGGGGGAATGGGGGAATGGAGGAACAGAGGAGCAGAGGAGCGGAGGAACAGAGGAGTGGAGGAACAGAGGAGCGGGGAAGTGGCCAACCTAGGGAGTCATTCCCCTAGGTTGGCAAACAGGAGTTTTGACTCGGGTTAAACCTAAGTCAAAGGACAGAAGAGCAGGGCTTAGAAAAGGTAATATTCAGACTAAGGATCTACAGACAGATGTACATATTTTTATATACTCTAAGTAAGTAGCATAGCATAGCAGAAGGCTATGTGCTGAGTGTACAGGATTACAGGAGAGATGACTGAGACATACGAGAAGAGGCTTGGAGAATAGTATGTACGCGATGGATCAGAAATCATTTGGGTATAGGGATTGCCGGTGATCCAAAAAGCAGAACTATGATACTAAATGGAGATAGGACCAGTTGAGTGGTTCCTAGTCTAGGAGTGGACTGGTGAGGCAGTTGGGTGGACCAATCATTGGGTGGGGCAACACGAGCGGAACTGAAGGAACCGAGCGGGTCAGAAAAGCGGAGGGAGTAGGAATAGGATCGGGCGGACCAATAGGGCGCAGGGGCGGAACCCCAGATAGGGTCGGATGGAAGGGGTATAGTATCGGAGGACATAGGGGTAGTGTCGGAGGAGCGGAACAGGGTTGGGCGGAGGTAGCAGGGCTTGTCCTGCTGAGATGCACTTCGTGCATTGTCAGAGAAGGAGGGATGGAGCAGATGGGAAAACAGGGGGTCGGACCAGGGGTGGGGATATTCACAGGTGGTATTGGAGGTGCCTGGATCCGGTATATGACAACAACCAAGTGCGTCAACATCAATTCAAAGCTACAGCTACTGAACAATGCATAGCAGAGCCCTAAAAGAGCATCCACCTTTATTTCCAACCTATAGTTATAGAATGGGGGCCTGTGATATAGTAGAACTTGTCAACATGGTCAGGATATCCTTACCAACTTGGACCAGACATGGCCATCCCAGGCATTCCTTTCAAGACAACTCTCTTCAGAAATCATATTGGCAGAAGAGGCTCAGGGGGTGTATGAGCCAGTGGGTTAAGTTGAAGGACATTTTGTGCTGAGGGACTGGTTCAAATTGAAATTGAATATTGAAACCCCGAGCAAAATGCTTATTGGAACCACTGTGCCATTGGGTCCAGAACAAGCTGCCTTCCTCATGTGGGTGTCATATCCTGTACCTCCAGACCTGGAATTCCAGATGCTCACCTACAAAAGTCCGGGTTTTCATCCTATTCTCTGTCCAGCACTCTGCTTTCATCTCCAAACTCATTCCTATCCCCATTTAGAATACTGCTCTCCGGCTACCAGTTGTATACCTTTCCGCTTTGCTTACTGATCCGTCCATTTGTATTTCATTTCTGACTTTGCTGCTTTGATCTGTTGTACTCTTACTAATAGACTTTCCACATGCTCAGGGCATAGCTTTTACTTTACTGACTGATTTACTTATATGATACCTACAGTATATACACTCCTGTAATACTCTGGTACCTCCTCAGTTCGAATATCACCTAAAATCCTGCTTATTCCTGCATCTCTGGACTTGAGCTTTGTCTCCTGTCAATCTCCAAGTCTTAGGATTGATTCCTTTGACTGTACCTCCGACTCTCCATCTTAGTTCTGCTCATTCCTGCTTCTCCGGACTTGAGTCTGATCTCCTGTCCACCTCCGAGTCTTAGGGTTAATCCTTAAGACTATTTCTCCAGCTCTACCATAGGGTAGTCTACCTCTGTTCCGTTTCTACTCCAGACTTGTCCAAAGTAGTCTTACTCTATTTGTTCCTAGTCTGCCGGAGTTTCCACTGAACTCCCCCTGCGTCTAACCTCTGGACTTACCCAGACTTCTGTTGGACTTCCCCTCTGCCTCTTGGAAATTAAGGGCATGTACTCAGGTAAGGGGTGCAGCACATGAGCTGAAGCCAAGCCCTTTGAGTTACCTTTCCCTTGAGCACAACCTTAACAGTGGGCTTCTCATGCTTGCTCTCTCATCCCATACAGTCATTCTGTTAGGTACTGTGCCAGCTCAGGAAGCAGCGAGGTCAGGGCTTGGCTTCAGCTCTTGCGCTGTGCCCTTAGCCGAGTACGTGCCCCAAATTTGGAGTGGGTCCGACGATAGGACGAGTGGTCCGCTTAGGTCCGCTTTGAGGGTCAGGGGGTAAGAGCTGCTAGCGGTGGGCCGACTAGGAGCAGAGCAGAGAAGGCGGGGAGTGATGTGGAGGGTGGATAGGAGCAGGGGGAATGTTTGGTAGAAGCGGGGAAGGCAGAGGATAATGCGGAGGATGGAAAAGGGTCAGAGGGGAATATTGAAAGGGGCGGAGAAATAAGGGGGACACTTAGAGCACGGCTCTAAGTCGGAGCAGAGGGTCGGAGGGTCGGAGGTGACAACAAGTTGAGACTTGTGTCCAGAGGAGGCAAGGTCCTACTGAGAATTCTCACAAGTAGTAACTGCAAGAAGACAAGTAATATTAAGACTGAGGAAATTATCTAAGTACAGGATATGTTATATACTTCTATGTATGAGACAGTGATTATGATAACTATGTTGTAAAGCTATGTACCAAGGATATAGTTTGTAAGTACTTTACACAGGCGAAGACATAAGTTGGAGTGGATATCAATATGTACGCGTTGGATCAGTGATCGGGCAGTAATAGGAATTACCGGTGATCCGGAAGCAAGGGTCTATGTACTGAAGGGGAAAGTATATATCTAAAAGGGGAAAGAGGTCCAGTTGAATGGAGAGGTTATGGAAGGGGACCAGTTGAGCGGTTGAGCAGAAGTGTAGAAGCGGAATGCGGACTGTGATTGGATGGAGCGGAGGATGGATGGAGCGGGGGTGGTTGGAAAGCGGAGCAGATATCAATATCAGAGCAGTCGGATCAGGTATATGACACATTCACCACCATTTGAGTTTGGAATTTTCGGATGTCTGCTACATCACAACCAGACACAATCTCGAAAATCACTTTTGAGGATGGTCATTATAGATAGCTAATCTACTTGGTATGTAGTTTTGAAGAACATGAAATGAGATGTTATTCTGCAATAAAAAGTCTGTTATTCTGGGTGTTATCGTACGTCCACCATCATTTGTGCTGACCCGAAAAGGCAGATTTATTCCCCAGTCCCGCAGATAAGATACACCATGTTGTATCAATGTTCTTCCTTGCTATCTTCATCTGACTCATTCTCCTCTGGCTCTTCCTCATCAATGTGAGTGAGTGTTGGTTTTGGGAGTGAGACCTCAAGTCTCCTGAGCTTCGGTTTGACATATCTCAAGCGTCGTTTCTCCAACTTTGCCTTTGCTTGCTCTTCCTCCCACTGCCTCAGCTCCTCCTTGTATTCAAATTCTTGCCTGTGCGCTTCATTTCTCTCCAGCTGCTTCCCATCTTCCTCTTTCCACGCTTTCATCAAACATGCTCGCTTGTATCACATATCAAGTCTGTGTTTGTCGGATCTCACTTGATGACACTGATAAGAGGCTATCGAGACACCCTCCACCGGCAGCGTTCTGGCAACATACAAACTTGTCGACTCACTTGTGGAATAGAACAGTAATATGTTTGGAGGTTGTGTGCATGTATGTATTTCTTTAGTTTATGAATCTGATTCTAGTTGTTTTGTTTTCAGGGACATAAAATAGTGAAAATCTGGTAACATAACATAACATCACATAATTGTCTAAGGTCTTTTATGCCTATTATTACTACCAATATATAGTTGTGCATGTAACTCATATGATAAGTAGAGTAAAAAAGTTACATGAGATAGTATCAAATTTGAGTGTCCACTGTCAGGCAAAGCAGATGCAAATGATGGTGAATGAGTGTATATATATACTAGTCCAAGCCCATTGTGCCTTCCTTAAGTTCTCACACCTACTGGACCACCTTCTTCCACTCGTCGCTCTTCAACACAACCCCTGGAGAAGTCAACACATCCTGGGCTGCGTTTTATGCAGCCCACAATGATCCCGCACCAAGAATTTCCCTCCTGGATCAGTACTCAGTAGTTGCTAAGTTATGCCCTAAACTCTGTCCTTCTTGGTCTCCAAGCAGGCAGAGGAGGTTATCTGTCCTTCTTGGTCTCCAAGCAGGCAGAGGAGGTTATCTGTCCATATCTTTTTTTCTATTGCACCGCCTGGCATCCGGCTTTTGTCACCTCACTCTGCACACTCACAGCTCGCTCCCATGCTACTTATTTTGTCTCCCAGGTCAAAACTGCTTGACTTATGCCCCCAAACCTCACTCCAGGTAGCTTAGAGAGGGTGGAGGAGAAGGTTCGTCCAAATCTTTTTTTCAATGCAGCACCTGGCTTCCAGCTTTTGCCACCTCACTCTACACACTCACAGCTCGCTCACACACTACTTATTTTGTCTCCCGGGCCAAAACTGCTCGACAGCTTACAGGGAGGAGGATGGAAAGGTGAGCTCGTATCTTTTTTTCATGTCAGTTTCTCGCAACCAGCTGTTCACATATCACTCTAGGGAGTCTAATATCCTCCCCACACCACTCATCTCGCTGCCCAGACCTCTGTATCCAACGCTATTCCCCATTCCTCCTCCTTGGCGCTCTAGAGGGAGGAGGATGGCAAGGTGAGCTCATATCTTTTTTCACGTCAGTTTCTTGCACTTGGCTGTTTGGATCTCACTCTAGGGACTCTAATCTACTCCCCACACCACTCATCTCACTGCCTGCACCTCTTCTTCTCAAGTTATGGCCCAATCTTCAACCTGGGCACTCTAGAGGGAGGAGGATGACAAGGTGCATCTGTATCTTTTTTTTATGTTGTTTTCTTGCACTCAGCTGTTTACATCTCACTCTAGGGACTCTAGTCTACTCCCTGCACCACTCATCTCTTCAACTGCACACCTTGTTCTTCTGTTAGGGCCTGAACTTCATTCTGGGTGGTTAGGCTAGGATAGTTGGGATCAGGTGAGCTCATATATATCATACCTCTTCTCAATATTAATGGAGGAATGGTTTATTTCTGCATAATCAATCTGTTGATGCCATGTACAAGCTCCACCTCAACTCTGTCATTTTCTCCTTCATATTGTAGTTCAAATAGCAAAGTTAGATTGTGCCCCAGGCCATACTGTCATATTGATGCAAGATTTTGCTGCAGTTGCAGCGCATACTGTGGTGCAACACTTGTGTGAAGCATATATGATGCATCACTGAACCACTATGGATTCACCAGTGATGCATCAGTCATACATTACTGATGCATCGGAACCCGCCAGCTTTGTACCATTGATACAGATTTCCTGCCTCCCACCTCAATTTTCCTGTGCCCACTCCCGCATGCTCTCACACCTATTCCCAGCTCCTGCATGGTGCACCCATTCCTCATCATTATTTTACAATAGATATATATGTACGATACAATTATTTTTTACTAGGAGCACTCAAAACAATGAAGTGGCATAATACATCAGCTATGTAGCTGACAGCCAGGCTATATAAAGCTACAGGAGGTGCTTTGAGTCAAACTAGTAAATACTTGATCCTGTAGCACACAATTGTATTATGTAGTACTGTAGCTTGTAGTAGTATTGTTAGGTACCGTGCCGGGCTCAAGAAGCGGAGGGGTCGGGGCTGGCTTCAGCTCTTGTGCTGCGCACTTAGCCGAGTACATGCCCCAAATTTAGAGCGGGTCTGATGTTGTCCGACAATAGGACAAGTGGATCGCTTTGGTCCACTTTGAGGGTTGGGAGGTAAGTGCTAATAGCAGCAGGCTGACTAGAAGCAGAGCAGAGAAGGCAGAGGATAAGGCAGAGGGTGGATGGGAGCAAAGGGGGATGATTGATAGTGGCGGAGAAGTAAAGGGGAAGACTTAGAGCATGGCTCTAAGTCGGAGGTGACAACAAGATGAAACTTGTGTCTGGCGGAGGCAAGGTCCTACTGAAAATTCTTACAAGTAGAAACTGCAAGAAGACAAGTAATATTAAGACTGGGGAAATTATCTAAGTACAGGATATGTTATATACTTCTAAGTGTGAGGCAGTGATTAGGAGACTTATGTTGTAAAGCTATGTACCAAGGATATAGTTTGTAAGTACTTACATGGGCAAAGACATAAGTCAGAGTGGATATCAATATGTACGTGTTGGATCAGCAATCAAGCAGTAAGAGGAGTTACTGGTGATCTGGAAGTAAGGGTCTATGTACCGAAGGGGAAAGTATATATCTAAAAGGGGAAAGAGGTTCCAGTTGAATGAAGATGTTATGGAAGGGGACCAGTTGGGTGGTCGAGCGGAAGCATAGGAGCGGATGCGGAATGATGATCGGGCGGGGCGGAGGACGGATGGAGTGGGGGTGGTCAGAAAGCAGAGCGGATATTGATATTGGAGCGGTCGGATCAGGTATATGACAAGTATTAATTTTAATCAACCATAGTGGCCACACAAAATGTATCAAGGTCAATATATGGATTTAAGTAGAAATCACTCGCCAACTCATAGGCGTTTGCACTTGTCCACCTGCGGTCAACAGACTGTCCCATCTTTGGAATCAGATGACATGGATGAATGATTTCATCAACATCTATCATAGCTGCATTTCGTTGCAGTCGATGAGTCGAACATGACACCTAACACAGGCCAGAAGAGGGGTCTGGCTCTCTAAGTAGAGTGAACCATTCAATGTAAGCCAGAGCTTGGGAGTAAGTCCCAAACTGACGAGGCAGCATGAATATGATATGAACTTGAACCACTCACAAGTCTACAGTATCAAGGTAAGACCTCAAGCTTGGGAGAGTAACTGAGTCACTTACTATATCTTGATCTCAGAGTCTGAGTCAGACTCAGACTCATATCCGTGTTCATCATCAACATGACTAACCACACATGTCCTCACAAAGTGCAAAAGCGAAAGTAACATCACTGATTACATGCACTTTTTTCCAGGTCCTGTCGCTGACACCACAGATAATGGCACTACACTAGTCTGGAAATGTCATTGGCAGCGAGAAGTATCTCTAGCAGTTGCACCCGCTTTGCCTCTTCACAATGCTTCGCTTCTGCATCCCAGCAGTCAGTGATGAGTCTTGTATGGCCGGGCATGCCACTGGCAGGCACTATTTCTAACAGTTGCAATTATTTTGCTTTCTCACAGGCCTTCAGTTCTGCCTTCCAGCACTCCAAGATGAGTCTTCACAAGTATGTCTGAGAAACAGAGATAGGGCCAGGTGTTTGACAAAATGGAAGGAGTGGAACATGGGCTCTGCATTGGGCACTTCATGCTTTGGTATGCTGGGCTCTGCATCAGGCACTTCAAGCTTCAGCCTGCAAGCAAGTGAGTATTTTGGGATGATGAGGAGGGGTAACTTAATTCACCTTTTGACACCAATTTTCCTATCTTTACAGGTAGCCTGAGCAGATGGTGACATTGGGCTGTAATATTTGTCAGAGCATGGTGAGTATTTGACTTGAGCTCTGTACTGTTTTCTGGCTGAGTTGGAAGTATCCATGACAGTGAAAATATATTGTGACAGTACGTTCATACCTTTTATCATTCTCTGTCTAACACAGCATTTAGCCCTGCATTCCGCAAAATCAACAAGCCCTGGATTCAACAATGAAACAACTTGTGCTTACAGCTGTGAGTTATGTCTTGTATTCTTATGTTAAAGTCAATGGCACTGAAAATGTCTGGTTATTGATAGATTGAATGTTGTATTGATGAGTGGTTGCAAGGCCTGAAGGAAGACATCAAATTCACTGTGGCTATTGATGCATCTGTTTACCAAGGTCATTTTGGCTTGTTGCAGCGCTTGTCAGCTATATTTTTCCTGATGATGACCCTAATGATCCTGATCAATTGTCTCCACATGTAGCCTTGAGATCCAAACAGTTGAACTTCTTCATTGCCATCCAGTGCAGCATGGTAGAGGAGTCCCCAGATCCATGCGAAGATTGATTCAGACACCACAGGTTCAATAGCTGGATGTTAAGACCATGCTTAGGGGTAAGATGGAGTCTGAGGGGCTTGGCTTCAGCTTGTGCACCGCACCCCTTACCTGAGTACATGCCCCTAATTTCGGGTTGTAGGCCGACTCGAGTTTCTACGAGCTCCAACAGAACATCAGAGCAGAGGGAGGTCCTCCAAAGGAGGGCCGACAGACTACTGGATGAGTGTGGGAATGTCAGGTGGAGGGCTACTGCAGTCGGAACTAACAGTAGGAATAGAGCAGAGGAGACTGCTCAGACGAAGTCTGAAGCAGAATGGAAACAGAGGACAGAGGTATGAGGGTTTTAGCCACAAGTCCAACACGTGGAAAAGGCAGTGGAGGCATGGGAAGTTGGCCGAGCGGAGAAGGCGGCTGACCTAGGGAGCCAATCCCCTAGGCTGGCAAACAGGAGTTGTCAAGGGTTTTGCCCAAGAACAGAGACAAGAGAGCAGGGCTTAGAAAAGGTAATATTCAGACTGAAGATCTACCAATAGATGTACATATCTTTATATACTCTAAGTAAGTAGCATAGCATAGCAGAAGGCTATGTGCTGAGTGTACAGAATTACTAGAAAGATGACTGAGACATATGAGAAAGAGGCTTGGAGGACAGTATGTATGCGACAG